GGGACTTTCTCTCCATCGTCGCGTTACAGTACACGATGATCACAGCAAACACTTCCGTCACATCCACCTTATTTTAAATAAGAAAAACTATAAGATTTTAAGATTTTTTTAAAAAAGAAATAATTGACTTGCCTTGCCGACTTCCCACGAGTCGAAAAGTGCAAAATGTTCGAGTGAGTCTTGACAAATGAGTGAGAAGATGTCATCAAACTCTTCTGGATTGACAGTCATCTTGTCTCCTAAAGTTCCTTGCAAGGTTTCAAAGTTCTCCTTCGCATCACGAAAATCATCCAATGTTGCTAGAGAAAAAGAAGACAGTTAAACCTTGCAAGTCTCGCCCTCACACTCGCTCTAACCTGCTTTATATTCCTATTAAAAACACGATAATCATAAGATTCACATTGCGTCATTCATCACATAATTTGCCACGTGTACATTTAGCAGGGGATCGTCGCTCACGATCGGGCCGACCACGTCGACGGTCAGTGCGTTCCCCATCTCGTCGTCTTAATTAGAGCAACTTTCGGCAAGTCAAACTTAGAAACGGTTTGTCTACAGACTATTCATAACTCGCTTCAAGTCCTCGACCAGTTTTCGACATGGATTTCGTCTCCGTCGGTCTTGCCAGTCCGCCACCCCGACGTCCAACAGAAGCGAAAGGCTCTGCAACTACCACCTCGTCCTTACCCCCTTTACAAACCACCAGTGACATCTCCCCATCTCCGAGAAAACACGATAAATCACGACCCATCCGAGTCTCTTCCTGGTCCTTAACCTTCGCACCTGGAAGTCCGAGACGTATCCCTACCGACTTTATTGATCACGATGCGTCCTCTCCAATATCTCCTAAAGTACAAAAGCTTCACACCCGTACACGTCTACTAGACGACAGTCGAACACGACCGGCATTACTACAAGAGCTCCTCGACTATCTTCACACAGAGCTGGATGGAGAGCGAGAGTCAAGAAAGCCCAGTTTACGACGGCTACAAATCGTAAGAGAAGCTCTCAATCGCCTAATCGACGGCTTCAGTGTGTACGCAGTGCAAAAGGACAGGTGCGTACTACGCACCTGTCCTTTTGTAAATTCGAGATGAATATGAACGTGCAGTCGAAGATCTTCATGCTCGAAATTTGATGATCCCGGGACTGCAGACTCGACTACAAAGTCTGGAGACTCACTGTCTTCAACAACTCAGTGCGTATAGTGCAGAAGCGAAAGCTCGTTCTCTTGTGCTAAAGAAACGATTAGCAGAGACGCAGGCGTTGCTGGCTGCTAGTACAGCAGAAAATGCGCGACTCACAGCTGCGCTAAGAAGCGAAAAGGACAATGCTACAAAACCGGAGAGTAAACGCACCGATGTTTAACGTTCGACGTTGACGTTAGCGAGTACTGTGCGAAGACATGACGAGAGCTTACGTGCTGGACAGGAACGTTCTCTTGAGGACGCGAGAGCGTTGCAGAAAGTTACTGCTCGATACTATCACGCATGTGACGCATGATGAGGTCTCGCCACTTTGTCCGCTTTAGGCACTGCAATAGAAGCGGCTTTATCATCTGGAAACTCTGCAGGACGGACAGAAATTGGCTCAGCTTGAGCTTTTGTTGACCCTTTGAAGTCACCTTTCTCGTCGTCCTCGAGCCAGTCTTTGCAAGGCGGTTTTGCTCTCACTGGCTTGCATTTGAGCCTCGTCCAGCTCTTCACGCTTGAGACTGAGACTAGTCTGCCACAGCAATAGCTTGGCTCCCGCCAGCCACGCTGGCGTTCCTGCTGTACTAGGCAGACGGCGGACGAGACAACCGCGTCCTTTGTGCAGATGCGTTGGAACGCCAGCAAAGATTTAGTCTGGAGCATCATCGTCCAAATCTGAAGATTCTAAAACTGGTTTCAGAGTCATAAAAACTGCCGCGACGGTATATAACGCCCAGCAATGCATCATGCACAAATCCCTTCCAGACCATCAAGTTGAGCGCTTGATCTTCGCCCGGACAGAGCGAGCCACGAGCCAGCTCGAGCTCGAAGAACGCCTCCCGAGCCGTCTTTGATCTCGATCCAGCGAGCCAAATGCGTCGTAATAAGTTCGTTCCCTCCACTAGCAATGGGGGCTTCCCTCATAAAGCTATGTACCCATTTCTGAGCCCCAATCAGCAGATCCAGATCTGATTTCTTCTTGAAATAGTCGATGAACAGAAGCAAAGCGACTTAAGACCTTTGTGCGAGGGAATTCGGCTTCGTGCCCCCCTCCAGGTCCCAAAATTTCGTCGTACACGCCAGCAAATGCGACTTCACTTGCTTGTGCACGTAACATCGGGAACCCACGACTAACGAGATCTCCAGAGTCATCCAGCATCCTAGTGGGAAGTTGAGCACTCCCGTGATACCCGAACTGGTTGAACTGGAACACAACTGCATCGTCCACGATATCCCCAGACTCGTCTTCCTTGCTTTGCATTCCATCGACTAGGAATTTTCTTCTTCTTGGTAAATTGACGGTGTCTAGCTATCAGACAATACAGTTGCGTGTCGTTTGCTACTAAAACGCGGGAATTCCCTCCATTACTGCTATACATGTAGACGGCGTATCTACGGGAAGTGGACACCACAACGCTTGAGATCCTCGTCACTGTACATACGTTAGAAATCAACATAAAGCGGAAATATCAATAGAAACACACCTGTAGCGACGCACTAAGTAGCAAGGCCCCGCATTGGCAGCTACAATATTAATCTAAGTTAGTCCAAAACCACTTTAGAATTTTTCAAAAAAATTAAATTTACCGTCCGGAACGAGAGTATCTTCAAGCGCAATTTCCTCCGTGTTGTCCCGCAACGTAGCGAAGTACGAGTCTCGAGAGTAAATGATGTCGAGCAGTACTCCGCGCATCACGAGTTTCATGACGACAAGCCGAACGCCAGCGTCTGCGAGAGCATTGTTCGTAGTGGGATGAGTCTGTAGCTCAAAGAAGGCTGGAATATTTTTCTCCGTGGCTTCAGCTAGCCACGGGAGTTCTCGTGCTTTAAGTTTCAGTCTCTCGGTCGTGCGAGGCTTTGCCAATTATTTGACGGAACTCGCCAACTCCCGCATTTGGTACACTGCATCCCGTTTTCCCGAAGTTAAGTCGACCACATCATCTACTTCAGTGAGGGAATGTGAAGTAACGGCAGTAATCGCGGGATCACCCTCAAGTCCACACCGCCTTCATGTCGACGCGAAATACTCTCAAAGAAGTTTTCGGATTGACTTTGATCTTCTTCTCGAACTTGACTATCCTCTGGCATCTCGATAGAGCCGTAAAAATAGTGCTGTCCACTTGCATAGAGTAAAGTCCAGCTTGTTTGTGCAGCCTCTTCCTTGGAATCTTCGTCACCTTGGAGAAAAGCCCCTTGCGCTTGCTAATGAGTCCGCCCATCTTAATCAGCTCGTCATCCAGCAGGAATCGGTTCCAGAGCGAGCTCGTACGTCGCATTGCAGACGGTATTGCTGCCTTCTGGCGAGCCACTTCCACTACGTTAACATGTTCAGCCCTACAAAATGAATAGAAATACAAAACCCAAATGTAAGTTTAGACAGATTGTCGACTCTTTCGAGACAGCACGTACATCCTTGCAAAGCCCTTCCCAGCTATGAGTCCGAATTCTTCCGAGTCGTAAGAAGCTAACGACGCGCTGTCGTTGTCATCGTCTGGAATTTCAAGCATATCATCAGTATCCAACGGCATCGCTAGGCATTGATCCTTAAGCTGTATGAAGGGACAGAGCGAAGGAAACGGTTTAGTTTTTTTATCCGAAAAACTCACTAGTGGCGTCTGGAGCGGTAGTAATTGAGGGAATATCATTTTAGATGAGGGAGTTGAGCTGGTAGACGCCTCATTGAAGTCGAAGGGGTTGTGACGTTCTAATTCCTCGGCTGCGATCTCGAGAGCATCGGTTTAATTGCTATTAGTAAACATCGTACGCAGAATTTTAAGCTACGTCGAAAGACTCGATGTGTAGTAGGAGAAAGGAAGCAAAGTTTCTTGCTAACGCTACAACGTGAACACATAGTGTTCGAGCACACTTGACAGAATTTCAAGCGACTTGGTGCGTTGGTGTAGACGATACAGTCATTCCCGTGATCGAGAATAACTTTCTTTTTAGTTTTTACAGCCAGTTAAGCTTCTTCATCTGTCCACAAAGCACGATTTTACTGTACGACGAGAGTGCATCTAGTACAGCTACAGACTGATGGATATCGCCCATGGCATCCACGAATCCCTTGATGTACAGTTCGATCTTGCCGGAGGTTTTTTGTCGAAACAAACACGCAGATCGACACATTTGCTCGGACAATTTTGGTACTCTGATTAGCTACAGCGAATGTAGTAAGTAACCTTTACGCACGTTTCTCCTTTTCCACAGTAAACAGCGACTGCAGAGAAGACCATGACAAGTGCCACGATAACCAATCCTCCATCAAAGTACCATCGAATCCATCCTGACCTGACATCATCAAGTAGTTCTGTATCAAAATCATGTTACAGTAGTTGTGGGGGAGAATAACGCACTTACGCTTGTACTTGATGCCTTGATCCGGCTCATCCGGACAGTCCACCAGCACATGGATGTCTCTGTCTACTTGCTCGAGGTTGTCACCGAAGTATTCATCATTGTTGGGTCTGCACGCCTCGTCCAGTAGCAAGTGCTCTTGCATGAGGTTTTTGATTCGGTCTGAAAGTTTTTTCGCCTTAACCGCCTTGATGTCTGCGTCTCGCGAGTTCAGCCAAGTGTCACCCTCCCGCGCGAGATACAGCTTCAGCAGATCTGCATCAAAGTAGATCAACCCAGGCTTCTCCCCCTTAATCTTCTCTTTCAGATCACCGACCATCTCGCTGAGCTCAATGTCCACAGGGAAGACGCTCCCGACTCCAACGACCGCGCAGACCAGCTTCGCCATCGTGTTTCTTTTTGTGGAATGCCAGATTTCCTTCTCTGAGCGAAATTATTCTTGCAATTCATTTCACAATTCATTATGCAATTCATTAGTTGAGATGGGCAAATTTTGCTCAAATTCTACAGTTTTAGGATAGTTTGATGGAGTCACCGGCTGCTGGACGTCCAGCAGTAGATTGATCTAAAATTTTGTTGAAATTCTACATTTTAGGATAGTTTGGCGGGAATCACCAGCTGCAGGATATCCTGCAGCGGGTATACTGGCGGACGCGTCCTGCAGCAGGTAATTTAAAAATTTCACTCATAATCTACAATTTTAGGATATCTAGAGGGATCCGAGCTCAGAAATGTATCTGAGCTACTCAGACACGTGTCAATCTCAAATTTTACAAATCTAGGACTACAACATATAAAAGCTGAAGTAGAGCGCAAAAACATTGATGCGGATAAGTTGCACATATGCAACCCTACATAATCTCTTATATATATGCATTACTTGCTGGAACTATCTATCCACCAACCACCAGACTAACTACAACAATACATAGTGAAGAAGTGCGCTTTTGACCCTACTTGCCACCAATATGCCCCCATACTTGACCCCTTTATTCTATTTTATTTCTGTATGAGTGCTTAAAGAATTTTTTTAGTTGTTGTAGTAAATAGGGCCAAGGGGGGGGGGGCATTTTTTTCCAATTTGCTGCGAATTTGAAGGTTTGAAGATAGGGTAGGTTTATCTATATCTAGTATGTTCATCTTCATTTGATATCGCAGGATGTATTGACTCCCGACTTGACCTCAGGGGGCAATCCACTTTGTCATGACATATGTTTTACTTAAGAGCATCTCTAGTAGAAAAAACTAGGATACAGACGTTATTTACAGATACGCACTTAGCGAGTTCAACAGAGAATCGTGTGAATATATCTTACATCTAACGCCATGGCTTTTCGAATCTCCAGAATGTGGTTAGCTGGTCTAAGTGAATGCCATAGAGCCGAGCGCCTTATAGCTGTTATTCTCACAAAACTGTTTATAGCATTTGTAGAGCCCTGTCGGAGTCTTACGGACGTCCTTGACATCAGCCGATCCCTCTGAGACGACCCAGCTCATTCAAATAGAACTTAATTACACTACAAGCTTGCAACTGCTTCAACTCTTGCTCGTATTCGTTTTGGCGTTTGCTGAGCATTCCAACCAGATTCAACTTCGACATTATGGATCAAATAATGAAATATATGCTTGCCAGCAGCATCAACATTAGCTATAACCTCAAAGTAATGGTTATAATAAGTATGGTCACCAACTAAATAATAATTAGTTTCCAAGCATAAAGCGCGTCTATCTGACTCTTCAATGAAGCTTGAGAAATTGTTTTTACTTCGAAAAATGTAATTGTTGTAATCTTTGAAAAGCCTCTTTACCTTTATGTTTAATAGTAACTGTGTCTGAAAAAATCAAGCTTCCGAACATATTCATTGCTGCTTTGTTTTTGTTATCTACGGCTTCATCAAGTACCGTCATGAGCAGAGACTGACGCATACCATTAAATCGGCCAGTGATCTGGTCCATATTACAAACCGTTTTAGCTAGGCTATCACCAATGACAAATCGATTCTGCGGAACGAGTCGCGCAGATACTAGGAACCAATTCCCCAACAATGGCCTTATCTACAGTATACGAGCATGAGGCGAGGTTATCGGCCTCTCCACCTGAGCATCCACTCACCGTAACGCTGCGGGGAACTGAGCGGATTGAGGCATTGCTGCAACTGGATACTCAAGGCCCTTGCCGGGGTCATGTTGTGGACAGCCAGCCAACACTTAGCAGATTAATTACCAAGGAGCTGCAATCCTCCAGCATACTCCGCCAAGTGCGGCCACATCCAAGGTTGGGTCGCCTCACATGTCTGCGGGCTGGAGGCCGAAGATCGACACGCACGAAACTCGAATTCAAACTGTGTTTAAGACACTTCGCACATCCAAGCGGAGCCACGAAGGCTGCCTTCCGCATAACCAAATGGACCGCAGCAAGCCCTACGGCGGCAGCAGCATTGTGTCACCTGAAATGGAAGAAAATTCGTCGAGTAGTGGGGCTGGGGCCGTGGGGGGAGCAGCTACTGCTAAAACTGAAATGATACACCCTCTTGCTCTATGATGCCGCCCATCAGAAGATCGAGTGCCCCCATGATGGCTGTGTCCATTTGGCCGACACTGACTTGTATCATGTATTCTGGGATTGTCCGGCGGCGAGGACATTACGACAACTTATGACACGGACGTGGCTTACGCTGGGAATCAAGAGCTCGGCAATCGAACACGCGATCTTCAGCATGGAGCTGCTGCTGATGCCAGCAGGGGTCTGGCGAGCAGCGGATAAAATGTACGACCACTATATCACGCTGTCCAATCATTTTATGGAGGCAGTCACGATGCTAGCCGAAAGTTGTTGGAGACTAGGGGCAGCAATACTGCTGCAACGGGGATGGAGATGGCGAGTCAACCACTTTGATTCTTTGGCAAAAGTGTCAGAGCAAAGTCAAGCCGCGGCCTTCAAATGGGCGCTCTGGCAGGGGTACTCCACGGTTTTTACACACACAGCGGCACAGCTTCACCCCACGTTTGGTCCCCTTGCGATCCAGCTCATGCGACGCGTGCTGACGTCGGAGTCGGTGGTAGATTATCTCCAATTCACAGACAGGGGAGCGACGAAGTACCTGCTATTCTTCGACGGGGGGGGGGGGGGGGGGGGGGGGGTTCCGTGGCAATCCGGGGCCCGGGAGCAGCGCATTAGTTATCCTTACAGCAGACGCCACAGTCCGCGCCCAGGTCGGCTGGATCGCCGGGATGTCGTACGCCAATCCGCGCTTCACCAACAGCATGGGAGAACACCTCGGCTTATTCTGCGGCCTCAAGGCCTGTGATAAGCACACCTTTGAACCGTTACACGTTATCGGAGGCAGCGCAATGATCATTAGACAACTCAAACAAAGAAAGCCTCTTAAAACCAAACACCTTCAAAACTACTATTGGCAGAGCAGGAAACTCGCCGACAGACTTGACGTGGTGGCGTGGCACCATCATCTGAGGGAGTTTAGCAAGATGGTTGATACATTGGCCAACATGGCGATGGATAATACAAGTAGCACGCAGGGCCTTCTGTCTGAGGACACAACGGCAACAGTACGCTGGGCGAAAGTGCTTAAGCACCTATCTGATGACGTCATGCACTGGCAGGATACGTCACATACGCAGCCGCGAAGCGGCAACATAGCGACCCCTATATAGGGGAGACAGTGCGATAGGGTCAGACACTGGGCAGGTCGCATGCATTACAGCGCACACTGACATTAGAGCGGTGGCGTTGCCAGGGGTATAGGAAGTCGTTAGTCTAGACTAAGTGACATCAATACTACTCATATCATAAAAAAACGACAAATCGATTGAAGATATCGAATGTGCTGTTCTTATCAGCTCATTGTAGTCGCTTAATGATAATCAGAGCTCCAGATTTCTTGCTTGGGTTTAGCAATAGATTAGTAAAATGTTTCAACAGATACTTGTAAATCTGCTCATTGCTGTTGCATAAATCGCTTTCTATATATTCGCGTCATATATCAAGAACGCCCATGTTAAGAATAAAATCTTTAACAAACTTATGCATAAATCATGGGAACAGATTTAGATTATTTCTAGCCTCTTCTCTATTGTTTTCTGTAACGCCAAACGGAGTTAGAATTACACGTTTATATAGAATGCTATCTCTAGCTTCAACTAAATTTCTTAGATAACTTGATATTTTCTGCAATGCCATTATGTTAAATTCAAATGATTCAGCATAAATTCTAGCAGGAATAATATGAGGGTTAAGAGCTACAACATATGAATTATTATTTGGTTGATTTCATTCATGGCAATCTCCTTAACGCAATAAGTGATTTTACCGTTATTCAGCGCAACTTTCCAAATTTTGTTAAATTAGTGTTGCAATCTCTACTGTAGAAGATATCGTGGTTTTCTTTGATTTGTAAGGAAGTCATTAAGCTCAATATTGTTATTTTCATATAGCTCATTTCGATCCACGGTTAAAAATTGTTTATTGATCTCCTCTAAAACTAACGTTTTTACTTCTTCCTTTTAGACCCTTTCGCGAACAAGGGGTCAAAATGCCCCTGTTCATCTGACCACGGTACTACTCCCCAGTATGAATAATACGGTATCAGTATGATTTTGATTGAATAAAATAGAAGGTGACTTGGAAAATTAGAGAATAGCTTCGGATAGAGATTTAGCAAATTGCCTATCAGTGTGTATTTTGTGAGCTAGGGAGCAAGAGAGTTTAACACTCAAGAGAGAGAGAGAGATACTTACAAAGGTAAACATATATT